ACTGAACGGCAGAACGACCAGTCGCTGTGATGCGCACTGACCACCAGGGGGCAGGCGCTCAACGGAGGAGCTGCCCCCTGGTGGTCAGTGTGCTCCCACAGGGGGAGTGCTGCTCAGCCAGAAGCCGGGCTCGCCAGTGGGCTCACAGCTGGCGAGCTCAGTGGCGGTGGAGGGAACCTCTCCCACTTCTGCAGCAGCGCTTAGGACCCCTTGGGAGATGTCCACCAAGTGGCCCGGACTGCAAGAAGGCACAGGTTGGGCTGTGGGACACCCCCTCCCCCCCCACGAAGAGCACGGATGTTGTGCACCGGGCCTCTAGTATAATATAAATAGCATTTAGGGAAAATGAGATTAGGGGGAAAGATTCAAGATTGGCATAAAATTAAAATTCCTATCAGATCTCTGAGCATATTATTTAGATCAGAGCTCTTCAAAAGAAGTAAAATGCAAGCCACATATGCAATTTTAAATTTTCTAGAAGCCACATTAAAAAGTAGAAGTAAGCCCTAGCCAGTTTGGCTCAGTGGATAGAGCATCAGCAGGTGGACCGAAGGGTCCCAGGTTCGATTCCAATCAAGGGCACATATCTTGGTAGCAGGCTCCTCCCTGGCCTGGGCCCTGTTCGGGGCCCATGCAAAGCAAACAATCTATATATTTCTCTCACATCAATATTTCTCTCTATCTTTCCCTCTGTCTTCCACTCCCTCTAAAAATCAATGGAAACATATCCTCAGGTGAGGATTAACAAACTAAAAGATTCTATTCTTGTGTTACCATATAAATCTTCTCTCAAGGCATATAAACTGTCTTCTCCTGATTCTGTGTGACTCAAATTCTTCAGTCCTCATTTTGAATGATGCCCACCTTCTGTGTCTTGGAAATTTCTACACATTTACTGAAAATTATCATTGTTTGCCCTACAACCAGAATTCACTGAGTGGCTCTTTGCCAAAACCTTAGTCATAGGGAAAACCAAACAACAAAGGAAAACCCATTAACAAGGGTATTAACAAATGGGACAGCTAGATTTTTAAATAGCCAATAATTCAAAAAGGAAATTTTGGGGAGAGCTCCTCCACTCATTTTAATTCAATAGAATAATCTATATTTTAAAAAACCAAAATTTCATCACCTAATAATTTTAGGTATTTTAAGAATTTGCTTACAGAGGGATAGTTTCCTAGGCATGCAGTTCAAGACTAATCTAGAGAATCATTAAGAATTAACTCTTAATACATGAGAGGGAATATAAGGAACAATGGAATAATGACCAAATTGACATTCACTTTGATAAAAAGCTTTATTTTTTTTAATATATATATATTGATTTTAGAGAGGAAGGGAGAGGGATAGAGAGATAGAAACATCAATGATGAGAGAGAATCATTGATTGGCTGCCTCTTGCATGTCCCCCACTGGGGATCGAGCTTGCAACCCAGGCATGTGCCCTTGGCCAGAATCGAACCTGGGACCCTTCAGTCCACAGGCCAACGCTCTATCCACTGAGCCAAACTGGCTAGGGCGATAAAAAGCTTAAGTAAACTTTTATTCTCCACCTCCTACTCTAGCCATACAAGAATTGTGTTAGAAATATCAGAGAGCCCTGGCAGAATAGCTCAGCTGGTTAGAGCAACATCCAGATACCCCAAGATTGTAGGTTCGATTCCCAGTCAGGGCACATACAAGAATGAACCAATAAATGCATAAATAAGTGGAACAACAAATCTGTATTTCTCTTTCTATTTCTGTCTCTCTAAAATAGATTTTTTTAAACAAAATTTTAAATAGAAAGAAATAGAGAGAGAGATGACTGAAGCCCTGCCTTGTAAAATTCAGCCCATTTGGCTCCTCTTCCTCTGAAGTACACCACCTGCTGTAATCAGGGATTCTTAACTTCTCTGGTGTCATGACCCCCATTGGGAGTTTGGTGAAGCCCATGAACCCCTTCTCAAAATCATGTTTTAAAATTAATTAAGTATAATACATAGAATTACAAAGGAAACCAATTATTTTGAAATATAGTTGTCAAAAAAGTTTTTAATATTTTATAATGTAATATATATGCTTTTTTATTAATTCATTACGGTAAATAGCAAGTTCTAATGGTAGTTCTGGTGACTATCATAATTTCAAAGTAGTGATGAGTATAAAGGACATTTTGAGATTTTTAATAACTGTAATGTGATATGAAAATATGTGTAATTGCTATTATGAATTAGGCATGTTAGATTTCAGAGTTTAGTGAGAATTAAGATGGAATTTTTTTTCCTATCCATTTTCACAGTTATCAAACCCTCTGACATTCTAATGGTGGGAGTTCTCTTTAGCCACTTTTAGTTCTCTTCAGCCCCAACTTTTGATTTGGGAAAAAATAAATAGTTCAATAGGGAAAAGGATGTCATAGAAGGGAGCGAGGGTGCAACAAAGAGGAACAAGAGCTAGAGGACAAACAAAACAAGTCAGGACTGTGCAGCAAAGTTGTAACAGAAGGGGAGTTGCTTTTTAAAATATTAAACAATCCTAACCAGAGCAAAGCCTGATGGAGGTTTAAAATCTTTCTCTCAGCTCAGTTTTGAGCAAACTATATTTCTGATAATAGAAAAATACTTTCTGTTTGAAAGTTAGTCTTCTAGATTCTAGAACATTGTGCAGAATTTTCCAAGCTACCTACATGAAATTTTCTTGAAGAATTTATAAACATACTTTTGAAAAAGATTGTTGCAACATTTCCAGTGCATTTTGAAAATTTATATCCCTGTCTAATTCACTACTGTTCTTTTCCCTCCAAAATGATGCTTTTTCTCCATTGTAGACTAGATTCTCCTCATTTCCTTTTACCAACCACTTGGCAGTCTCAGTGACTTGTTTAACCAACAAATATCATACCCCTGGGTAACAGACTGTTATGCCTTCCTTTCTCACCCTACCCCATCCTTTTTTCCTTAAGGAAAAAGCTGTGTTGGAAAAAGTTCTTGCCTAGGGTTAACCAACTAGTAGAGAACATGAAAGCTCTTGGCTAAATTCCCCCACACTTGATTCACTGGAAACCACTAAGACATTCTTCTTTTGACTATTTTACTTCTTAGTTCTTCATACTTTTATTTATTTATTTATTTTTATTTTTTTTTTTTAGAGAGAGAGGAGGGGGAAGGGAGGGAGAGAGAGAGAGAGACCAGTGTTAGAGAGAAACATTGATCAGCTGCCTCCTGCACATCCCTTACTGGGGATTGAGCCTGAAACCAGGCTCGTGCCCTGACCGGGAATCGGACCAGTGACCTCTTGGTGCATGGGACAGTGCTCAACCAACTGATCCACACCGGCCTGGGGCCTTCATATTTTTAATTGAAATTTCCCTTTGTCCTTCAGGCCTGTGGACTTTAGGTCTTAAGCTGGCTTTAGTTGTGATAGGGGCTCAGAGAAAATTTGGGGTAAGCTACTTTCAGGTAAAATAAAGGAACTTAAACAGTTTAGTAATGCTTACTTGACTTGATAGTAGCTGGAATGGGGCCATTCCTCTCTGTTTAGTTTACAAGCAAGAAGAGCTGTGGGGGCTCTGGTCGGGTAGCTCAGTTGGTTAGAGTCCTGATACGCCAAGATTGCAAGTTTGATCCCTGGTCAGGGCACATACAAGAATCAACCAATGAATGCATTCATAAGTGCAACAACAAAAATTGATATTTCTCTCTATATAGTTCTCCTTTCCTCTCTTTCTCTAAAATCAATTTAAAGAAGAAGAGCTGTGGAAAAGAGGGCTAAAGGTATAGTGCTTGGTGGGAAATAGATATTTCATGAAGCGAGTAAAAAGAGGGAACTAACCAATCATTTTTTTTAGAAACAAAAAGATAAATAGAAGCATTTTTCAGAGCCTAGCTGGTGAAGGAACTGTGAAAAACTGCAGTGTCCACGCTGTTATGTGTTGTAGGTGTGTTTTAATGAAGGAACATGGCCAGCCAGCCTCAACAGGAATGTTGAGGGTATCAGTCTTTTGAATTACTGCTGTTCATCTGTTCTCTTCACCTCCCCTTTTAAAGAACAGATCCGAGCATAAATTATTGTCCAGTAACCCTGTCTTATTTAGTCATAAACTGAGGCAGACCTAGCCTCACCTTTTCATTGTCCTTTCACCCAAACCCCTAAATAAATAAAACCTCTACACCATCTTCTTTTCCCTTCCCCTCATCTTGCCTGCTGGCTTCTCCCTACCCTAACAAAAAAAATTCTGCTTGCATTTTTATTCTGCCATTCCATAGCCAGCAGCATAGTACTGGCCCCTTTATGGCTCATGGAGCCCAGGCGGGCTGCCCAATGAGGGGAGACAGCATTTGGCCAATGGGGCTGGTGTGTGCCATTACCGCTGGCCATTGGGCCTCTGTCCTCTACAGCTCCATCCTGACTCATTAAAACCCTGAGCCAAATAGCTGGGCAGGCTCCTGCTGCAGCATTGTGGGGGCCAGGAAGTTAAATGGTTCTCCTAATCCTGCATAATTTATCTCCCTGTTAGCCCCCGCATAAATAGTCCATTTCAGCCCTACCATGGAGAGCTTAATTCTGAACTTCCTATTTTTGTGATGACCAGTGAGTGCCCAGCCTTTCCCTTCTCTCTTTATTATTATTATTAAAAATTATTTTCCCCTTGTTCACTATGAGTTTGCCTTAATGTGTTTTTTTTTTCGTTTGAAGCCTCCTGCCTGGATCCCACTTTAGCAACAATCTGTCCATTTCTCTCATTTGGACCTAATATTACAGAGCAGTTGGTGCTACACTCTTCCCCTTCCTCTCTCCTCCCAGCTTTATAGTGCCTCTTTTTCTCCTCCCTATTTTCTCTTTTTAAATCTATCACCTCTCCTTTCCTATCACTTCCAGTTTTTTCCTCCTTTCCATTCCCTGTTCAAATCCCTCTTTCCAGCAACCAACCTTATCACAGGATGTTTGGTAGGACATTTTAAAAGGGCACTGAAGTGTTGTTTTTTTTACACATCTCCATTTCTGTTTCGTTTCAGAGATTTACAAACGAGGACCACCTGGCAGTTCATAAACACAAGCATGAGATGACATTGAAATTTGGCCCAGCCCGAACTGACTCAGTCATCATTGCAGGTACTTTTTACCCCAGAAGCCACGTGCCTTGATATCACCAGACAGTTAAGATTAATACCAGGGACCAGATGTACTGGGAGCTATACTCCCCTTCTCCCATTAAAAACCCTTATGTGATCTGCATTAATCAGGAAAAAGGAACACTAAAAGCTCCCAAGTTTCTATTGTGCCCTCTACTCTCTATTTTTAATACAAGATTGGGTTCTTTGGTTTTTGAGGGTAGGTGTGTTAAGGTTTTATCTTAGCTTTTTTCAGTCTATTTCCTCCTTGCCTTCTTTTTATTAAGACTTTGGAAGATTTATAGACAGAAGACGCCTTTGACATTTCTCCCTACCCATAATGAAGGGGTGAACAAAAGCAGGGAAGCCGCCCTCGTCTGGCTGCTTCTCATCCACTGGGTGTCAGTTTTCCCCAAGCAGACAGATTGTCAGTTCGTAAATTCAGCTTCCCTTGTGAACCCAGACACCATTGAGGGCACATTTCCAGAGTTCAAACAAGACATTTGTCAATGGGACTTTTCTGTGCCAATTTGGGTGACCTGGAACCTCTCACTGGTTGTTTGTCTTGCTTACATATGCCATCTCTAGGGACCGTTCTCAGCAACCTCTCTCAAACCGTGCAGCAGCAGTTCTGTTGTGCCATTTTCACTAGACAGGCATACAAACCAAAGTGGGCTTTTTCTTTCAATACCATGAGGGGGTTCTGAGTTAGCCTGAGTTAAGCAAGCTTACCTCAGTATTTAACCTCTCTCCATGCTTCTATACATGAAGAAAGGGATTTGCCCTTACAGATCTCCTATTTCTTATTGACTGAATATCTACTTTGCTAGGAGCTTGTAATTCCTGAAAAAGGACATGAGTGGATATCATTAATGATCCTTACGAAAGCTCAGGGGAGCTCTGGCTGGATAGCTCAGTTGGTTAGAATGTTGTCCCAATATGCCAAAGTTTCGGGTTTGATCCCCAGTCAGGGCACTTACAAGAAGCAACCAATGAATGCATACATAAGTGGAACAACAAATTGATGTTTCTCTCTCTCTCTCTCATCAATAAATAAAAATGTAAATTTAAAAAAGAAGAAAGCTAGTGGAGGTTTTAGAGGAAAGAGTAACTATAGGATTTAACATATATTCAGGTAACATATTTAAATTTATTAAGTCAGGTCATGTATTCAGGAAAATAATTTTAGTATTTGTAGTCTAATATAAGTGAATAATACAAACAATAAAAATACTAAGAGAATTAATATTAAATGGAATTAATCATAGTTTATGAAAGAGGTAAATTTGAGGCAAGGTTATCAAGTTGGAGAGGTTATTAGGAATGGTGTAAACGCCTATGCTGAGTCTCTAGGAGTGGTGAGAAATTGATACAGGACAGTCCCAAGGAGAGAAAGTGATTTCTGTTATTTTTTGCATGCTGTTCTGGAATGCTCATCCCGTTGCACATAACTTCAGCTATTCTGTCTAGGCTGCTAATTCTCATATCTGTGAATTATGACCTGGTGTCTCACAGGTATTCCAACCCTAATTGAACACTTGACAGGCTGGCTTTCTGTCATTCAGATCTTCAAGTCAACAACCAAATTTATCTTTGTCCCCTAAACCAACTTCTTTTCCTTTGTTATTCAGTGATGATATTCTCAAAATTTTGAGTCGTTTTATTTTTCTCTTCAGATTCTCGCTGTTCTGTTCCGTCCTGCTCTTCCTGCCACCACCCTCATTATGCTTGAATTCCTCCATAGTCTCCTAGCTGGTCTCTCTCTCCTTGACTACTCTCTTATTATAATCTATCTTCATTCTGTTGAAAAGCCAATCTTCCTTAAATTCTTCTCCTCCACGCAAAATCTATCATTATTTTCCCATTTTCTCTTACTTTAAGGCTATTCATACTTGGATTTTCAGACCTTCTATAACCTAGCCCCATGGTACCTGCCCAACTTTATATACAACTTATGTACCTAACATGATTATCCTTTGACCTAGACCTACCTTCTTCTCATCTATACATGGTGTCCGTGTCCTGCCTCTCTCTGTGCCTTCACCCACCTTACCATCTAAAGCCATTCTTTAAGGCCCAACTCAAGTCGTGCTTCTAGAAACCTCCTAACTACTCTGTCATTAATTTATCTTTATTTAATTTCTGCAATAATTTTATTCTCTACTGCACATGATTTTTGTATACTATGATGTTATTTATGTATAATTATTTTATTTCCTCATCTAGAAAGCATTCTTTTATTCTCTAGGGCAAGAGCCATGTTTTATATTTGGGCAAAACTCCTATATTCCTATTTCTCTTCTCCCCCAGATTTCTACACAAATGTATGCATGTAGCACCAAAAGTGAAAAAGTACTCAGTAAACACTTGTTGATTGCTTCAGAATTATCAGAGCAGGTTAAGGGTTTTCTTATACATTTTCTTATACATTGTTCAGAAATGGAAGAAGTTTGTATGAGCCTCAGATCAGAGATCCAAAGGCCCTCTTCTGCCATAGCCATGCCCTTAGCTGCCCCATCCTGGTTCACTTGAGTGGTAATTTTTTGTGTGTCCTTACTGAAGTGCTCTCTAAGCCTAAAGGATGATATTACCTCTACTCACCCGGGGATGAAGGGAAAGTGGCTTTATCGTTGGCCAACCAAAGCTGCCAGAGAAGCTTTTAAAACTATTTTGGGAGGTAGTGGTAACTTTTCCAAACACTCTGATTCAGAAGAGGTTTTGTTTAAAATTTTTTAAAATTATGTTATTTCCATGGAATATCCCACTGGATTATTCCCAATCGATCATGCTAGAAGGAGCAATTTTAAACCAGGTCTCACTTCTTAAAATATTATTTAAACATTGTTCTATTTCTATCATTCAACCTAGTGGTTTGGGGTATGAGATGAATCCATGAGGTAACTATCATGTCAAGGAAAACCATCTAAAAGAGTTAGGATCAGGGAACAAGATTCAGCTGACCTAAAAGAAAAACTAGAAAAACAGAATGGGGAGAGAGAAGTTCAGATCTAAAATTCATGTTGCTTGGCCCTAGCTGGTTTGGCTCAGTGGATAGAGCGTTGGCCTGCGGACTGAAGGATCCGAGATCGATTCTGGTCAAAGGCACATGCCTGGGTTGCAGGCTCGATCCCTAGTAGGGAGCTTGCAGGAGGCAGCCGATCAATAATTCTCTCATCATTGATGTTTCTATCTCTCTCTCCCTCTCCCTTCCTCTTTGAAATCAATAAAAATATTTTTTTAAAAAAAACAGGTTTAAACATTTTTTTAAAAATAAATAAATAAAATTCAGGTTGCTTGAAAAGTTACCATGGGTTACGGAGAGTCTTCCTCTTCCCAAGGGTAGAGAGGCACTGTGTTGAGGAAAGATTTGTGCAGCCCCTAAGAGGATATTTTGGCTGGCAAATCTAAATCCAAATATCCTGGTTTCCGGAATTTGCTCTGGGCCAAGGTTTCTGTTCTATTGTTTGCAGTTTCCTTTTCTAGCTCATGATCTTGCTGTCTTGTTCCCTCGCCCCTAGATCTGCCTGGAATGCCTTAAGAACGTAGCAGACCCTTACCTCAGTGACCACTGAAAGGCAGTGCACCATTTCTAATGTGGTAGCGTTAGCAAACAAATTCAACCACCTGAGCCTCGGTTTCTCCTCATCAGATGTTAACATTCATCTGCTTACAACTGCTCAATTCAGACCTAGCAGGGAGTACGTTTAAAGAGAAAATGTCGCTTAGCTATACTTGATTTTCAAATCTGGAGGTTTCACAAACTCCACCTGGGTGGGTGGTTTGGTTTTGTTTGGGGGTGAGGGAGGTAAAACCAGCCTCTGGGAGAAAGGTGGTTACATGGATAGTCACACAACAAAACATTGTTCTGTCTTCCCTCTGCTGGCCTTGAGGCAACACAGCACAGACACCCTCTGGTGGCCTAGCACCAGCCTTCACCTACTGGAGATCCATGAAAGCAAATTCGCCCTAACACCGAGACTCTCTCCAAATAGAAGAATAAAACGTGCTCTCTACATACTCTCAAGTTTTAATTTTAGGTCAAAACTGAAATAGAATTTCCTTTCTTTTCATGTCTACAGATCAAACTCCTACTCCAACTAGATTCCTGAAGAACTGTGAGGAGGTGGGGCTCTTCAATGAACTAGCTAGCTCCTTTGAACATGAATTCAAGAAAGCTGCAGATGAGGATGAGAAAAAGGTAAGAGGCGGGACTTATACTGAAAAACTGGTGGTGTTTGAATCTAGGCTATTCTCATTGTGCCCTGGGATAATTTGTTTAATTGGTTAAAGCACAAAATTACAGGTTTGGTTCTATAGAAACAGAGAATACCCACTAATCCTAGTCAGCCACCCACGTCTTTTGGGGGTCCAGACGATGGATCAATGCAAGTCTGTCTTCATGCCAGTTTCAGGGGCCTCCAACCTGCTCAGGTTGGTTATGTGGTCACCCAGTTATTTGATGGATTTTACCTGCTTATTCAGGTAGTGAATCTCAATGAAGTCAAACAAATGAAGGGCATTTTTTGTCAGTGGCCAGTTTGTGCAGTTCCAGTAGTGACTAATTCACTCCTTTTTCCCAGTGTAATGCACACACCATTGCATTCTGCCCAAACTTCCAGTCACTGAGATCTGGTTTCTTGATACCCTGAAGGACGATTCGGCCACCTAGTTGATTCTGCAGCTTCATCAGTTTCTCAGCATGTTCCCTCTCCTCATGAGATTGGTGAAGAAAATATTTGGCAAAGTTCTCCAAAGCCACAGTCAAAGTAGAAAGACGTGGACAGATGGGTTTAGGAAGCATAGAGCTCCAGGCTGATCTGGCAGTCGATGGAGGCCTCCAAGTCCAGGTGGCAGTTCTAGCGCCTGCGAGGTGGGCACGGTCCTCATGGTGGGTGGCTGAGGAGAGGCAGATGTGTGGCATTGGAGCAGTGGTGGGGGGGCCTTGGGGCAGTCCCAGGGTGCTGTGAGGAGGTAGTGGAACGCTGGATCTGGGCGGCTGGCTGGCTTGGGGGTCAGTACTGGTTCCGTCCAAGCACTGTTGAAGCAGGAAACCACAGCAAGTCTCGGCGAAGACTGTTCTGCCTGTTTTCCTTTTTATGTATGGGTTGATTTGAGAAAGAGAGAGGGGTGAGAGAGAGAGAGAGAGACATGGAGACATCGATTTGTTGTCCCACTTTTTTATGTATTCATTGGTTGATTCTTATATGTGCCCTAACTGGTGGGTCAAACCTGCGACCTTGGCTATCAGGACGACACTCTAACCAACTGTTTTCTTAAAGAAGGATGTTCTTACTGCTTTCCAAAGGAGATCAACCAGAATGGTTGAAAGAACTAGAAATTATGTCACTTTGGGAATATTTACAGAAATAGAGGAAGTTTTGCTTGGAAAGAGAAGACAATGTGAACAAAAGTTCAGTCTTAAATATTTGAAGAGTTTTCATGTAAAAGAAGGGTTAAATTTATTTTGTATGGCTCAGAGGTAGAAGTATGGCCAGCAGGTGGAAGCTGTCACCGAGTGCATTGAATTATATGTAGGTCATTTAGTGTAGATAACTGTGGAAAGGATTAAAATGCTGGAATACCATCGCATCTTCAGGTGCTGTGATTCTGATTTTAGACTTTATATTCCAAATCTCTAGAGAATCCTTCAATTTGGAAGACCAGAGGAAATAGTTCAGGAAACTGAGTCAAATAAAAATACTTCCCATGGTATAGGGATTTCAGGGAAAAGGTCAAAATTTATTCTACTTTAGAATTGAAATTCTGGGTTATTGGTCACTTTAAAATCAGGCATGTGTTCCCTAATAATTCAGAAAAATCCAATATATGATCTCAGAACATGTACACATTAACCACATGTATGCTCCACAATTGCATGACAAAGTAAGACATGAAATCCCATCAAAATATAGCAAAGCCAGAATATAAGAAAAAATGTCCAGGAAAGCTGTTGCCTTCTGAGAGGGAATTGTACATGATTTTTCCATTCAGCTTAAATTGTACCAGTAAGAATGCAAGATAAAGTGTCCATATCACTGGAAGTCTTTATAAATTCCATACCTTTCTATGAGTTTCTTCTCATGCTGCCTCCCTCAAACTAAAAGAAGGCGGGGCAATTCAGTGGCATGTATTTGTAGTTCTACTTTCAAAAGGCAGGACTAACCTTCTCATTATTCTTTTTCTTTGGAGACACAGGTCTCTCTTTTTAAAAAATATGTTTTTATTGACTTTAGAGAGAGGAAGGAAGAGGGAGAGAGAGATAGAAACATTGATGAGAAAGAAACATCGATTGGCTGCCTCCTACATGCCCTCTACTGGAGATCGACCCCACAACCTGAGCATGTGCCCTGATCAGGAATCGAATCTGCAACCTCGTGGTGCATGGGACGACGCTCAACCAACTGAGCCACACTGACAGGGCAGTCTCTCATTTTTCAGTTGTTTCATCCTGTGTGGTATAATTTCTCCCTCTCCCAAAACAAAGAAATCAATCAATTGAGCAAGCTGAATTACAAAAAAAAAGAAAGAAAAAGGAAATACGTCAAATTTTTTCCTCCAGGATGTGAGGGATTTTAAACCAAACTCATTATAGGCAAATTCAAGAAAATTAGCCTCCTATGAAAAGTTTAAGGTCTTTTCCATTGCCATTTTTGCTCTGTTGACACTTCTGAGAAGCCTTTCATAGTTGGTCAGGCCTTTACTCATTGAGTATCTCTCGATGTTTCTTCCTGCCTGTCTTCACCTCGCCTTGATGAGAAGCACAGATTCAATGTAAGATTATCTCCAGGAGTGTTTTATGAGCCCACAACTTTCCTGAACCACAGCTTTTCTAGGATGTGCCCCAGAGGGATTTTAAACCTGTGGTTGAGAGGCCTCTCCTTCCCACCACCCTCTGGTTTCAGGGATCCCAGGATTAGCTCAGTTGGGCCTGATATCTTAGAAATGTAGAAAAAATTAGGGCAGAAGTGAAACCATCTTTGCTATTGCTCACCTCCATCATATTGGAGAAAAAGAACCATTATCACCTTCTCTAATGTGGTAGACACAAGACTATCTTCATTTTGCTCAACTACCAAGAACATTTTTAGGGATTAAGGTAGCAAAGGAAGAGTTAGAAACAAACTCCTCTTTCGCCAAGAATTCTAGGATTTAGGAAGACTAGAACAAAGGATTGACGTAGTCATAAAACTGAACTGCAATGCCATCGGGTCATGCCCCTGTCATGGTGCAGTGTCAGGGCCATCATCTCGGATTGTTTATTTTCCCTGCAAAGCCACTTATGGCTCCACAGTTCTGTGAGGTGGTGGCACCAATGCTAGGAATGTACTCTCTTTTATTTCTGGTTTTCTCCAGTCCTACTCCTAGGACCAACTTCCCATTTCTTTCACGGATCAAGTGATCAGCTTTTCCTTTCTCCGTTACCCTGAAGCTCTGTCTTCCTAACTTTCAGCTTCTAGCACCAGATTTGGGGGTGAAATCACCATCAAACATGGGGCATACCCTAGAAAAGGTCTTTCTTATGTTGTTTTCAGTACTTTAATCATCAGTTTGTCTTTATTTGCTTTTGATAATTGGGTAATCTATCATCTGGTTGGCAGAAAAAGTGCTCACAATTCTCCAGTGGCCAATTGAGGAATCATTTTACTTTCCTGAAAAATAATATCATAATACTTGGATGGATTTAAATCACATCTTTTTTTTTCCTTTCAGGGTCTTTATAAGCATTGTGAGTATTTTTTCCCTTTCAGAATCTTTCTAAGTATTCACCCATGGTGAAGCAGGTGTTATTTCCATTTTATAGTTAGGGAAGCAGAAGCCCTGAGAAGTTGAATGGATTTGGCCAAAGTTGTACATAAAACCTTGGCTTCACATTTCTTTGACTTGCAGTTTGGCACTTTGACCAAGGACTAAACTTCTTAGAAGTTTATTCCCTCATCTTTTAACTGGGAAGATACAGCTTCAACTTGAAGGGAATCATGGGGTTAAACCAGCCGTGGGCAAACTACGGCCCGGATCAGGCCAGTTTGAAATGAATAAAACTAAAAAAAAAAAAAGACCATACCCTTTTATGTAATGATGTTTACTTTGAATTTATATTAGTTCACACAAACACTCCATCCATGCTTTTATTCCGGCCCTCCGGTCCAGTTTAAGAACCCATTGTGGCCCTCGAGTCAAAAAGTTTGCCCACCCCTGGGTTAAACTATGCGCATTTCTCTCTTCTAGCAGGCTGCTGCAGGGCCCCTTGACATGTCTCTGCCTTCCACACCAGACATTAAAATCAAAGAAGAGGGGCCAGTGGAGGTAGACTCATCCCCACCTGACAGCCCTGTCTCCAGCCCCTGCTCCCCGGTGCTCAAGGACAAGGTAAAATTCTCTATCAGAAGTCATCCCACATGTTAATTAATAGATTACGTTTTGATTCATAGTTGTATAGTGTGTGATACAGGAAGATGGAATATATTCAAATAAATGTTAATTGTTCAGAAGATTTATATAAATTACACCTACTCTGTGACCCAGCAGTTCTACTTTTAAGTCAATGTGGAAATGAAATTAGTGTGTATGTCCACCCAAAGAAGTGTATGAGAAGGTTCATAACAGTTTTATTGATAATAGTAAAAAAGCTAGAAGTCCATCAACAAGAAAATGAACAAAGTGTAGTATGTTTATAAAATGGAATACTACATGGCATTAAAAAAGAATAAGCTAATGATATACACAGCAATAAGGAGGAATTTCACAAATGTTATATTGAACAATAGCAAAAAAATTCATACACAGAAGCACATACTATGTAATTTTATTTACATCAGGTTCAAGAAAAGGCAAAATTATTTGATGGTGATAGAACTCAGAATAATGTTTAACCTCTTGTGGGGAAAGGTATGGATTGGGAAGGGATGCATGAGAACCTTCCAGGGTGCTAGAAATGGACTCTGTCTTGGTTTTACATATGTAAAAAGTCATTTAGTTGTACCTTAGTCAATGCACTTTACTGTATTTATGTAGTACTTTAATTAATAAGTGAAAAAGAAAATCACTTAGTTTATAAACTGGACATTAAACAATTTTTTAAAAAGTCTTCCCAGAGGTAAGTCTTCTAGTGACTTACAGGGAGTATCTACTAGGATTCTGAATATTTTTTAAAGGAAACATTTTAAGAAGAAGTATTTTTTATACATTTATTGAAATGTAGTACATGTACAGAAAAGTACATAAATTGTAAGTATACAGCTCACTGAATTTTCACAAAGTTTACAGACTTTGTAACTAGTGCCCAGGTATTATCAGAACCTCAGAAGCCCCCTCATGCCTCCTTCCAATCTCTACTGTTCTACCAGCAGTTATTAATTTTAATATCCACTTTGAATAATGCATCTATAGCTCATTTTACTTCCCTCCAAACTTGATTTGATAACTTCTAAAACCATTCCCTCCATAAACATTACAACGCCACTTCCTCCATCCCAGCCCCCCCGCCAAAAAAAAAAATTACAACCTTCCCCTCTCTCCTTTTCATCAGCAGCCAGGTCCTAGAAGCTGTCTGGAGATGTTTTCATGGCCATTGTGGCCACTGGTAACCTAAGATCCTAACAGTGGGAAGCAGTTTGTTTTATTACAATCTGGTCATTATTTAAACTTCCATAGCCCTTTTTTAAAGAAGATATTTGGGTTGCCTTATCACCAGTCTTATACCTGTACCTGCCTTTTCCTGTTAGAGATCACAGGACACAAAGTTTAGAGTGACAGTATCAAGTTTAGAATGACAGTATCTAGATTGTGAAAAGTTATAACAATTTTTAGAATTTATATGATACTACAAGGCTTCTACAGAGATTTCGAGTGATTTTTCAACTCTCATCTCATTCATATGGGCATCATCCCTGATGAAAGGGGGATAGCCAAAAGGTCTTAACTCAGCATTTTTACTGAATGGGTGAGTGAGGTATGGTCCATGACCCTGGAGCAACATGACTTGCTCTACTGCTCTTTCCAATAAATTTGTGCTAGATTTTACCAGCTAAGTATTTCTCTATAAACGGCCCCTTAAAGCACTTTGTGATCTGTTGGTCTCTTCTCCCCAGGAAATTGCCCCCAAGCCTATTGTGATATCTACCCCAACGCCTACCATTGTACGCCCTGGCTCCCTGCCTCTCCACTTGGGCTATGATCCACTTCACCCAACCCTTCCCTCCCCAACCTCTGTCATCACACAGGCTCCACCATCCAACAGGCAACTGGGGTAAGTAAAGAGCAGAGAGAAATAATGAAGCCTGAATTTCTTTCTACTTTGTAAAATTATTTGATAAAACAGGGACTGTTTGAACACTCAAAGAAAATGAGTCACTATGATTGTCTCTCAAAATAAATAGATTCCTCTCCCTTTTGAGTAGACTAGCAAGCATTTATTTGAGGATAATACTTCATTATTTTGGAGGTTTAATACTTCTTTGATCTAAAAGGAGAATCCTTAAAACTTTAGGAAGTTCATCATAATGATGGAGGTCGCACAGGAAACTATATAAGTTCTTGACCTGAATCAGTAGATGTTTATTGGAGCACTACTGAATGAGGGACTGAAACACATTGTCGTCTTTTTTTTAGTGTTTCCCTCAGTTCCAGTTAGGATTCTTGGTCTTTGCTACCTCTAATTCTGTTGGTCTGTTTGTCTTCACTCATGGCATAGCCTGTACAGATTTCATAGTGGGATGACTTGACATCCTATCCCTAGGTACCCATTGAGTTAAGAGGTTACTGTCAGAATTCAGCCTTCTGAAGCTTTATTGTTCTGTGGACCCACTAGGAAAAATACAAAGAGACATCTTTTTGGATAGGGTAAAGCAAAATGTGGAAAGGAACAAGAGAAACTTATTCATATTTGGCTATCATATGGCATAATTCACTTTTGCAAAATAACTTTGGTTCAAGTCTCCCTCATCTAAGGCAAGACAGAATTTATACATGGCAGTGATAGGGAGTTTATTTAATTATTCAGAACTCTTTTTAAAAAAATTATTTTTATTGATTTCAGAGAGGGAGAGAGAGATAGAAACATCAATGATGAGAGAGAATTGATCTGCTGCCTCCTGCACAACCCCCACTGGAGTTGGAGCCTGCAACCCAGGCATGTGCCCTGACCGGGAATTGAACCATGACCTCCTGGTTCATAAGTCAATGCTCAACCACTGAACCACACTGGTTGGGCAAGACTCTTTTTTTCAAATATGCTTTTGTTGATTTTAGAGAGAGAAGAAGGGAGAGGGAAAGAGAGAGAAACATCAATTTGAGAGGAACATCGATTGTTTGCCTCCCATATGCACTCCAACCAGGGACTGAACCCACAACTTGGGCATGTGCCCTGACCAGGAATCAAACCGGCGACCTTTCAGTGCCCAGCATGATGCAACCAACTGAGCAACACTGGCCAGGGCAGTTGTTCAAAACTCTTAATAGGATTTGCTTCCCACCTATTTGAGTTCAGTGGTATTTGCATAATTTGCAAAGTGTAAAGATCTTGTAGCATTCCCTGCTTTTTCCACCTTCATGAGGGTGTCAAGATTATACAATGTTGCCGTTTAGCTTCCCTAACTAGAGAAGACTGGAAAATCTGCTATAATATAGAATAAAGATCCATAGGTAAAAAGGCCTATATTATGAGCATTTCACTTCATGTGTCCTCTAGGTCTCCCACTGGCTCCCTTCCTCTCGTCATGCATCTTGCTAATGGGCAGACCATGCCTGTGCTGCCAGGGCCTCCAGTACAGATGCCTTCTGTTATATCGGTAAGCTCTGTAGTTGGGACAGCCAGCCCTACCAACACACAAACCCTCCCTTCCACCTGAATGCTCTTAAACACATGAGCCCCAGGGAAAAGTGGGCTCTGGTCTGTATTAGTGGAGCATAGAAGCCTGCCCAAACGCTTCACTAACCTCTGCCAATCCAGTACTATGGAACACTAGACAAAGACTCATCTGGACAATTGGCTCCTGGTCTAGGAATTGATCTTGCCAGCCTGCTGATTGGTTGCTTTCACTTGGCTCTTAGCACCTTCCAAATTGCCCACCACTTTCCTCAATATAGCCCCAGCCCTTCCCATAGAAGTTGTCATAGCATTGGAAGATTAGATTCAGTGCTATGGGGGGAGGTATTTCCCAGGAGCCCTGTATCCCTGTATGCCCTATGGGCAGGTTGCACAGAACAGGCCCTAATGTGCCAATCTAAAAATCACTGCATTTTGGGAAGCTGTTGCCCCACCAATACTATTGTGTTCCCTTCTGGTTTTTCTTCCTTCTCTTGATCCAGCTGGCCAGACCTGTGTCTATGGTGCCCAACATTCCTGGTATCCCTGGCCCACCAGTTAACAGCAGTGGCTCCATTTCTCCCTCTGGCCACCCTATGCCATCAGAAGCCAAGATGGTGAGTATATTCCAGCCTGGGGCAACATTGGCTCTTTCTAAGAGAAGTGGTATCAGCCTAGGTTTTTCAAGTGAGCCAAGCAAGGGAACCTTCTGGGACTTGGCAAAGCTAAAGATACCCTGTTGTGAGGTCTGTAGGAAAAGAGACCCTGATTTAGGACTCCCATCTCCTCCCTTCCACCTTTAGAGCCTGGTTCATAGACCATGGCAGTGAAGAGGCAGCACAGATTGTTTGGAGAGGAACAGTTGCTGTTTCAGTTCCAGGGTGACAGATGGAGAGTGGATGAGTGGGCAGGAGAGCTGGCCAAGAGGTGAATAGCTGTGTAACCAGCACCTGGCCAGGTTCCAGGAGAGAGCTTTCATCTGGACTCTATTGCTTCAGCCCCCCACCCCCACCCCACCCTCCAACTGTGCCCAGGATGATAGCCAGGGAATAGAGAGGCATTTTAGGGATCCAGGTGCACACTCTCCCCCCCCCCCCCCCCCCCCATTTTCTTTTATTTCCTCTGCTAAGGGAAAATTGTTGCGGAAATTTTAGCTATCTGTAAGTCAGTAATAAAATCCAAGCCCATTCTTCCCACCCTTGATAGAATCTCACCCTTGACAACCTTTTTTTTTCTTCTTATCTTTTTCCACAGAGACTAAAAGCCACCCTAACCAACCAAGTCTCCTCAATCAATGGTGGTTGTGGAATGGTGGTGGGTACTGCCAGCACCATGGTGACAGCCCGTCCTGAGCAGAGCCAGATCCTCATCCAGCACCCTGATGCCCCATCCCCTGCCCAGCCACAGGTCAGTTGGGCCCTTAGATGGGGGAACCAGCTATGTCACCATTGCTTTTTATGTCCTATGTTTTCCAATGAGCAGAAAATTTAGAGAATAGATTTCAGCTTTCTGGGCACCTTCCTGTGCTTTGATTCTTGTTGACAGTTTGACAGTAGTAAAAAGTACCATTCTTTATTCACCCTGTATTATACTTACATGTGAGCAGACGAGATAATGCAGAACTGTCACAGAGGAGGTCTTAGTTTTTGGTGTTATCTATATGAGAATGGTGTATGTGTACCAGACAAAGGAGATTCTCCTAATCTCTTTCCCATCTATTGTCTTAAAAAAAAAAAAAAATCCACCTGAGCAATGACGAAGTGGCTCGAGAGTTTGTGAAGCTCAAATCAGAGCCTCTTTCCATGGAGGAGGGGACCTGAGCACCTGAGCTCCTGTGCCAACCAGATGGCACCAGTTCCACAATCAGCGCCCGTGAGAGTTACTATGTAGCCAGCTCAGGTCCTCATAGTTAAGAGATTGACTCCTTCAGTTAAAGAAATTTAAAGAAAATTTTGGGGTGATGGGAGTTTGGTTTCCCACAGAAAGGGTCATGAATCCCTGACCAGTAGGTCTGTGGTGCTAGGGTGTTACTGCATAGGGAGATTTTCCATAAAGAGAGAGGGACAGACATTTCTGAGAGTGTCAACCATTCTTGGTAGACATACTTCCAATCCACACCCCATATCTCCCCCTCTCCATACTACACCTTATCCAGTTGGACCAGTCATTAGAAGGTACTCCCCATGTACCAATCACTAGAAGAAAAAGTTTAGAGGGCCAGGAGCTTGTGCCTGGCTAGCTAAGTAGTCAGTTGAGCCTATAGGTATCACTGAGCCCTGTAGTCTGGATTGAAGTACAGTCAGGGCAGGAGCACACAGAATAGAAGTCACACTGTCCCTTGAGCAGAATCCACTGGTTTTGTGTGCCTCCAGTGAGAAAAAGGCCTTGAAACTGAACAAGATACCTCTAAAAATGAGCTCTGTTAATCCCTTACCCAGTTTATATCTGTCATGAGCAGAAGCAGGTTCATATGGTGCTTCAGAGCCTTGTGCAGAATATTCTTTGGAACCCAAGTACCAGAGGTAGGAAGGGAAGTGATGCTTCAGGACATGAGAGGCTGTTCTTATGTGTATGCATCTGAGGGCTAGTTGAAGGATCTGGGAGAGAGGACTATATTTTCTTCTTGGCTAGGCTCCGAACAGAGCCAAAATTTTTTGGAAATTAGTCTAGAAGGAATCCTCCTCACTTATGGCCACTGCCTTCTGACTGTCCTCCCCTTGTAGAATGAATCTAGCCTTTGACCTCACTCCCTTTCATTCGGTCAGTTATGTCCCCCTCACAGATGTTCAGCCCCCTGGAAGAAACTTGGTCTATGATCCCTCTATACAGGCTGGATGGAGGAGGGCCTCAACACTCCCTGGGCGGTTAGAGACAAACTCGAGGGGTCACGTGGACTTCCCAGGCCTTTGCTCAGAGAAATGACATGGTCCTTTAATATCCTTGGTAGCAGCTTCCTGGACTTTCTGAGGACTCTGCGTTGTCCACATCTCTGTTGGTCATTATATTAAACAAGAAACTAAGCATATTTGCTGTTAATTATTGTATGTGCCATTGTTATAGGAGATTATTGGCTAGTCTGCAATAAATTATCTTATAGCAAAAAAACCAAACAAAAAAAAAAACCCCACCTTACTTGATTATATTTTATAGCAAAAATCAAATAGTAATATATTAATATGTGATGTCACAGTATTAAGATGGCTCAGTAAACAAACACAAAAATTCAACTTTTCCTTATCAATTTAATTCGTTAAGACAGGGCAGTCCCATTTAGATGCCCAGTTCTTTTCTCAAGGAGGCCTCAGTTTTAGTAAATTTCTTTGAAAACCAAATAGGCCTCAGTTTTGTATTATCTGTACTAGACAGGTGACAACAATCTGAGATCGGTTTCTAGAGTTGCATTCTTTGCCCAGCCCCTTTTCCTGATGTCACCACCTGCTTCATCATTTACCACCACATGTCCTAACATGTAATGTAGGATATTTCATTACAATGTAATATATTCACATACATACACACAAAGAGGTAGAACCTGGTATAGCTAACACCAGGTTTAATTCCTTTCATATGCTGCTTTAAAGCTTGGCCAGCAACAAAAACCTTCATTGGAGTTTTCTTGTTGGAAGCTAAGCCTGCCCACCCTCATGTACCCCCTTCCGATGCCAGTCCTTGGAGATGGTAGAGCAGTAACCCCTTGCCTGAGTTGTGCTGCTTTGCCTCTTGAGGAAATTTTATGACCTCCTTTTTAGTCACCACGGATTCCTTTCCTTCTCGTTCTTCCCTCTCTCTTGGGCTGTTCTTTCACATCCATTCCCTGCATGAGCTGTGAGTTGCCTGTGAGAGAATAGGAACCTACCATTTCCTTTTCCCCATCCTTGGTAAAGGGTCAACCTTTACATGTGGTCCAGTGAGCTCAGGGCAGAGAAGAAATTTTGAATTTCAAAAGAATGAGTGTAAATTTCCCTAGGTGTAGTGAGAAGCATTGACCTAAGGCTTCTAGCTCATTAAATTAAATTTGAAATTTCCTCCCCATTTTTTCTTTTGGGAGAGATATTAGTCTGAATAAATAAAATTATCTCTTGATTATCTTAATGAAGAACATGATTCAGTAGGGCCTGAAGTGGAGTATAAGATTCTATTTTTTATAAGCTCATGCTTATTCTCATACAACTAATGTGAGCTCTAGCATTGGGGGACTAATATAGATATTCTTTAATAGCAACAGATCTAGAACATACTTACCTTTGGTGGCGTTTTACATTACATAGTTTGTTATATGCAGATGGTTTACCTCTCTACATTTTTATTTTTGCCGCTATTATAAAATTGGTCTATCAGCTTAACAGAAAGGAAGATGATCCAAAAGTCAAGGGACATCAGCCTGAAGTTTGAAGACAAAAGACAATCCTATATCACCAATTTATAAAGGGATTAAAAAATGCTCTTCTGTTTAAAAAAGAACAAACAGGATGGGGGGAGAGTTGATGAGGATTGTAAATAAAAAGAATATACTAATCCATAGTTCTCCATAATAGCCTAATTCTCACTAGTAGTAAAATCTTTTCTTCTTTTCTGAAACTTGTAGCATTCAGTTGTTTGTATATATTGCTTGTCCAAATCAGTGATTTGTAAACTTTTTATTCCAGTCTCGCTAAAAGTTCCCGATATCCTCCTTTATGCTTTCCTTCCCTATAAGATTCCCTATTCCTAAGAAACAAAAAGTGATCCTAGTTTCATTTTGTCTGTCTGTCTCAGAAATAATCAGTTTCCAACTGAACTCTGGTTGTCTACGTATGGGACTTGAGAAGACTGGAAGGAAATGGGAGACAGAATGAGGAACAATTACAAAAGAGAAGCTAAGGGTATACATAGTGATGAGACTTGCTGTGGTTACAGAGATTGATACATCCCTTTACCGGGTCTTACTAATATACCTGACACCAGGTTCAATTCCTTTCAAGTAACTCCTCTTCCTTCTTGGGCAACAGGTCTCACCAGCCCAGCCCACTCCGAGTACAGGAGGGCGCCGGCGGCGCACAGTGGATGAAGATCCGGATGAGCGGCGGCAGCGCTTTCTGGAGCGCAACCGGGCTGCTGCCTCTCGCTGCCGTCAGAAGCGGAAGCTATGGGTGTCCTCCCTAGAGAAGAAGGCAGAGGAACTCACTTCTCAGAACATTCAGCTGAGTGTGAGTGGGTCCTAGATGGTTGTTGAGATTGTTGAGTCTTGAAAGTGGTGTTGAATCAGAAAAAAGTGGGACAATATAATAGAAGATGGTAATTATTTAAGTTAGGACAGATACAGAAGATGTTCCAGGAAGAATGCAGAAAGAATCTCTTACTGTCAGAGTTGAAATCTCTTCCTCAGGGATTGGAAAAGACATCATCAATGGACAAATCTGCTACTGGAATGATTTATTCATAGACCCATTTGGATGAAGGGAATTAGATTAAGCACCCCAGGATGCTCTTTTAAGTCATCACTAAACTCTGACTGGGGTCATGGAATACCCAAAGGGAAATGCATTTGCCCCAGATAATGCAGCTTAATAAAAGAAAGAAAGAAAAAGCCACACAAGCAAAAATAGAACAATTATAATCCATACATTTTCTTGAATATTATTTTTCCTTCTTCTGGTTATTTAAAATATTTCATTACAATGTAATATATTCACATACATACACACAAACAGGTAGAATAAAAACACAGAGTCAAGCCCTGGCTGGTGTCCTCAATGGTTAGAGCATCACCCCTACTCCACCCCACCTCTGAGCACCTAAGGGTCACGGGTTCAACTCCCAGTCAAGAGAACATACCTGGATCATAGGTTCGATCCCTGGCCCCCACGGTTGGGGCACTGCTGGAGGCAACCAATTGATGTGTCTCTATTTCACACAGATGTTTCTCTCTTTCTCCTCCTCCCCCTCCCTTCTACTCTCTCTGAAAATCAATGGAAAAAATCCTTGGGTGAGGATTAACAACAACAAAAAAAAAACACAAAATCCCTCTTCAGCATGCCTTTCCAGACTCATTCTTTTCCCTGTAGGTAAGTTTGATGTGCACCTACCAGACACTTTTTTTAGAGAGAATGAGAGAAAGAAAGAAACATCAGTTTGTTATTCCACTTATTTGTGCATTCGTTGGTTGATTCTTGTATGTGTTCTGACCAGGAATTGAACCCACAACCTTGGTGTATCGCGATAATGCTCTAACCAACTGAGCTACCCAACCAGGGTCCAGACATATATGTATTTCTAAATATTATCTTCATTTATAGTTTTGTAGGGGAGTCAGGGAGGGATTGTGTGTGTTTTTTGTTGTTGTTTTTTTAAATATATTTTATTGATTTTTTACAGAGAGGAACAGAGAGGGATAGAGAGTTAGAAACATCCATGAGAGAGAAACATGGATCAGCTGCCTCCTGCACACCCCCTACTGGGGATGTGCCCGCAACCAAGGTACATGCCCCTGACTGGAATCGAACTTGGGACTCTTCAGTCCACAGGCCGACGCTCTAGCCACTGAGCCAAACTTGTCAGGGCATGTGTTTTTTAAAATAGCTCTATAGTAGTACACTCTATAGTGTGGTTACATTACAAGGTGTGGGTATTTGTAATGTTTCTAACTTTTTGCTAGAACAGCAGTGCTGCAGTGAACACTGTATGCACTTGAGTAGGTAGTTCTGTTAAATAGATTCATGGAAGTCGGCTTTCTTAGTCAAAGGACATAAGCATTATTAATTTTGGTATAATCATGTTTATCCTGTATAGGAGTAATTTTTCTATTGTAAATCCCCACCTTACACTGTAAGCAGCTCCGTCATTAAACTCATGATTCTACTGGCCCTGGGCTAGCTGAAGCCTGGCTGGGTCAGAAGTCTCCAGATTTGGAAGAGAAAATCGAGGCAGCATTCTGTCGTCACTTTGAGAGATGGTCACTGGGGGTTAAAGAGTGAAGGATGGATTTTCTTGATACTGTTTTCTTCCCTCCCTCCTCAGAATGAAGTCACATTACTACGCAATGAGGTGGCTCAGTTGAAACAGCTGCTGTTAGCTCATAAAGACTGTCCAGTCACTGCACTACAGAAAAAGACCCAAGGCTACTTAGGTGAGTGGCTTACAACCTAAGCAAGGTCAGAATGTACTGAGTGTCTCAAATGTTTATAATTTTACTAGAGGCCCAATGCACAAATTCGTGCACCAGTGGGGTCCCTTGGCCTGGCCTTCTGGACTGGGCCGAAACCAGGTCTCCAACATCCCCTGAGGGGTCAGGCCAGGATGAGGGACCCCACCGGTGCACGATCAGGGCCGGGAGGGACGTGGGAGGTTAGCCAGCTGGGGAAGGACTGCAGGAGGGCTCCAGGACATGTCTGGCCCCTCTCGCTCAGTTCCAATCGTCCAGACCCCAGCAGCAAGCTAACCTACTGATTAGAGTGTCTGCCCCCTGGTGGTCAGTGCACATCATAGCCAGTTGTTGAGCAGCCTTAGCATATTATGCTTTGATTGGTTGAATGGACCACTGGACACTTTGCATATTAGGCTTTTATTATATAGGATAACTCTATTCTCAATGTTCTGGGGGGTCCAGACTGATGAGGGAGCAGCCTTTGTGGAGCAACCAGTACTGTGGGAAAAAAATTTTTTTAGAACGTAGAACTTTCCTAATTAACCATCACAGATAAAGGGTGACTATGTTTATTGGGAACCTAATTTGTGTTAGGCACTCTACCATCTTTCTAGTTATCTCTTCTTTTTTTTTATTTCAGAGAGGAAGGGAGAGGGGGAGAGAAAGATCAATGATGAGAGAGAATCATTGATTGGCTACCTTCTGCACGCCCCCTAGTGGGATCAAGCCTGCAACCCAGGCATGTGCCCTTGACCAGAATCGAACCCTTTAGTCCCCAGGCTGACGCTCTATTCACTGATCCAAACCGGCTAGGACATCATTGATGTTTCTATCTCTCCCTCTCCCTTCCTCTCTCTGAAATCAATAAAAACGTATTTAAAAAATTTTTTAAATAGTAAATGCTTGGAAGAAAAAAATAGACATGAAGAGAAATATGCAGTGTTGGCAGCAGGGTTGAAATTTTAGATAAGGTGGCTTTTAGGGTTTTTTTTGTTTGGTTGGTTTTGTTTTTTTGTTTTTTTATGAAGTAGCTTTTGAATAAAGACCTTAAGGAAGTGAGGGAGCTAGCCATGCACTTATGTGGGAGAAAAGTACTTCAGGAAGAAGAGCAAAGACAAAGATCCAAAGTGGGAGCTTGCCTGGCACATTGTAGGAACATCAAGGAGGCTGCGTGGCTGGATTGGAGAGAATGGGCCTGGAGCCTAGTTGGAGATGAGATAGGGAAGGTAAAGGGAGTATCTTTGTGTGGGGCCTTGTCAGACATGGTGAGGACCTCAGCTTTTACCCTACACTGGGACCATCAGAGGGTTTTCAGCAGAGCTGTGAAATGACTGATCTGACTTGCATTTGGACAGGATCACCCTGTCAGTGCAGGGGTGCAAGGGCAGAAGCAGGCAGTCCACTCGGGAGGCTATTGCAATTTGCACAAGAGTTGTTGGAGCCTTGGACCAAGGTGGTGGAAGTGAAAGTGGTGAGAAGGAGTTGAATTCAGGATATTTTGAATTTAGAGTGACAGGGTTTGATGATGGGCCAAATGGGACAGTATATATGAGAACAAGAAGAATAAAAATTACACCAAAGTTTTTGGCCCAAGCAACTGCAAGAATGTATTTGCCATTAATTGAAATAGGGGAAAGTGTAGGAGGAAATGAATTGGGAAGTATATTTGGAGCTCAGTTTTGGACAAGGTGAGTTTAAGAAGCCTGTCAGTCTTTTTGTTTGTTTGTTTTTGTTAATATTCACCAAGGATATTTTTCCCATTGATTTTTTTTTTTTTTTTTTTTAGAGAAAATGGAAAGGAGGGAGGGAGGGAAGAAGAGAGAGAGAAAGAGAGAAACATCAGTGTGAGAGAGACACATCGATTGGTTGCCTCGTGCACACACCCCGATCAAGCCTATAACATGGGCATGTGCTCTAATTGGGAATTGAACCACCACCTCCCAGTACATGGGACGAGGCTCAACCAGCTGAGCCACACGAGCTGGGCAGAAGCCTATTTGTTTTGAAGGCGGAGTCAAGCAGACAGCTGGTTACATGGGTCTGCAGTTCAGAGGAAAGTCTGCAAGATATGACGATGGGAGTCAGCAGCGTATAGTTAGGTTTTTTTAAATACATTTTTATTGATTTTAGAGAGGGAGAGGGAGAGAGAGATGGAAACATCAATGATGAGATAGAATCATTGATTGGCTGTCTCCTGCATGATTGGGGATCAAGCCTGCAACCTGGGCATGTAACCTGACCAGGAATCAAACCGTAACCTCCTGATTCATAGGTCAATGCTCAACCACTGAGCCACCGTGGCCGGGCTAGTTAGTTTTTAATGCCATGAAACTGGATGAAATACTATTGTCAAGGGAGAGCCCATAGGTAGAAAAAGAGAAGTCCCAGAGCTCAGCCCTGGGGTACTACAACATTTGAGGTCAGAGAGATGAGAAGGAACCCACAAAAGTGACTGAGAATGAGCAGCTTAGAAGGTAGGAGGAAAACCAGCTGAGTAGCTGAGTGTAGTGTTCTGTAAACCAAAATTAAGTGTTTTACAATGTGTGATCAACCATTTCAGAAACTTTTCATGAGCTAAAGCAGGGGTGGGGAATGTCGGGCCCACAAAATCATTTGGCCTGCCAAGGCATTACGGGTAAGTTAATTAAATGTTTGGGACCAACGATAGCAGACTAATTTTTTTTGTTATTGTTGTTGTTAATCCTCACCCAAGAATATTTTTCCATTGATTCTTAGAGAGATGGAGGGGAGGGGGAGAGACAGAAAGAGAGGAACATCAATGTGAGAGACACATCAATTGATTGCCTCCTCCATGCGCCCCGACCAGGGCCAGGGATCCTGCAACCAAGGTACGTGCCCTTGACCTGACTCGAACCCGGGACCCTTCGGTCCACAGGCCAAGACTCTATTCACTGAGCCAAACCAGCTAGGGCAGCAGACTAATGTTTTTCCCCCCGTGGGGGGAAAAAAAAAAAAGCCCTCTTGCTTATTTGGTTAAACAAAAATAAAATAAGTTGCATAGGAACAATTTTAAAGTCCAAAGAGACACCAACTTTGTTTTAAGGCTGCAGTAGCTGATACAGCATCTCTTTGCTACCTTCAGCCTTCTCTGTGGACCACAGCGATACATTCAGAAGCCCGTTAGCCAACACAGGAGTTTTTGAACACTTTCCCATTGTTTCTTCACCTGCTCATTGCCCGTCATGCCTGTGGCCTGCAGTATAACATTTAAGATGCAAAGTAAAAATCCACAGGGTTTAATGAAAAACCCCACCCCAAACAAACACGGGCAGCAGACTGATTTTTAAGTTGATAATTTTGTATGGCTCTCGAATGATGTTATAAATATCCAGGTGGCCCTTGGCAGAAAGGAAGACAAGGGTATCTATCGGTATGAAATCTATATACAGTAAGTTTTCTACTCAATCCCTACAAGAACTCTGACATGTAGTCATTCCATTAAACTACTTATTTGTTACAGCAAAAATGAATGTAGTTCCTGCTTTATGGTGTAGACATTAGAGTAGGTATTTAACACAATACAAATGAGACACTGTCTCTACCTCTGAGAGACTCAGGGCTATGAGGAGATAAACATGTCAACCTGTTAGTAGGGTAAGCACAGATATCCCTGCTAAGAAAGCCCTTAGACTGGGAGCTTCCTAAGGACAGGGCTACCGTTTTATTCTTTATGTACCCCAGTGTCTGGCGTGGACGATGCTCAGTAAATATGTGATGAATAAATGAATGTGTGCTCTGAAAGCACAAACAGAGAGAGTTACTTTCCTGAGTGCAACAAAGAAGGCTTCACAGATTCTAAAAGAAGACTCAGGCATTCTTCAGGTCAAAAATACACTAACTATTGGAAGTTTTCCCTCATTCCACACGTCTCTATTTAAGCAGCCATCGAGGCTGTCTGCCATTTAAGAAAGCTCCTTGACTGATGAGCAACATGGAGTTATCAGTATGCAGTTCAGATATTTGTGTTTAGTGAAATGTTATTGTTACGTTAGGTGGAGTGGCATAACTCATCGTAAATATTTTAAATGGGTAATACCTAGCTAAGTAATAGCTTGGAGGGTAAACTCTTTAGGGTTTGTTGTGTTAAGTGAACCTTGGCCAAGGACTAATTATTTATGACATTATTTGATTGTAGCTTGATATTTATTAGGCTTACCTATGGTGCAATACATGCTAAAGGAATATAAAAAAGAACGGAATGATTCAGTTCCTGTGCGAATTAATCAGAAAGGATACCTAAAAATAAAGCTATTTTAAATCACCTTTAATCCTGGCTGGGGTGTTCAGTGGTTAGAGCATTAACCCATGCATGAAGCATCCCAGCTTCAGCTCCTGGTCAAGGGCACGTACCTGGTCCTGGTGTGTGCAGGAGACAACCAATTAATGTGTCTCTCTCACATCAATGTTTCACTACGTCTCCCTTCCACTCTCTCTAAAAAAACCAATGGAAAAAGTATCCTCGGGTGAGAATTAACAACAACAAAAATCACCTTTAAAAACATGACTAAGAAGACTGTTCCAGTAGGGCCGTGGTCAGCACACCGAGGCTCAAGAGCCACATGTGGCTCTTTGGCCCCTTGAGTGTGGCTCTTCCACAAAATACCACGTGCGGGCGGCGACATACAGTGCGATTGAAACTTCGTGGCCCATGTGCAGAAGTTGGTATTTTGTGGAAGAGCCGGTATTTTGTGGAAGAGCCACACTCAAGGGGCCAAAGAGCCGCATGTGGCTTGCGAGCCACGGTTTGCCAAGCCGCAGTTTGCTGACCACTGCAGTAGGGTAATGAACTGCATACAGAGACCTAGAAGCCAGACAGTGTAATTAGCATGTTGGGGATTCGCTTTATTGGACTAGGTAGGTTAACTTGTTTAGTTTTTATTTCCCTTCTCAGGGCTTACTGCTTCCTAGCTCATTCATAGCTTAGAAGCCAAGATTCTGGGAAGTTTCTCCCCAATCAAAAAAAAGATATGCTTCCTTTTCCTTTGGCCTGCTTTAGAATTGTGGCAAAAGGTAGTCTTGCCTGTTTGCCCATTCTGTTTTCTAACCACTTGCTCTCTGCTATTTGCCCTCCTTCCCTGGCAGAAAGCCCCAAGGAAAGCTCGGAGCCGACGGGTTCTCCAGCCCCTGTGATTCAGCACAGCTCAGCAACAGCACCCAGCAATGGCCTCAGTGTTCGCTCTGCAGCTGAAGCGGTGGCCACCTCAGTCCTCACGCAGATGGCCAGCCAAAGGACAGAACTGAGCATGCCGATACAGTCGCATGTGATTATGACTCCACAGTCCCAGTCTGCGGGCAGATGATGCCTCCCCTGGTGGAGAGGTCCCCAGCCAGAGCTCGCCCGTTCAAGAGCCAAGAAAGATGTCATCTTATCCCCTCCCATCTGTCCTGGACATGGCAGTATGGGGGGGAACTGTGTGTTGTGAGTAAAGGACAGATGTGGGGCTTTTCTCTTCAGCCACATGGTTGTGTACGTTGACACCTGTACTAGGAGCCTCCCAGCCCCAGAGCCACATCGATCATCCCCTAAGCGGGGGTTTCTGATGTCCTCACAGCCAAAGGCCCTTCCAGATGGTCTGAACAGTCAATCACCCTTGCCCACGCACCTGTGCTTCTCTCTTTTAACACTAACCCTTGCACTTCCAGGTTTCAGGTTTCCCAGTTTCCTCTCTTCCCAATAAGCCATAACTGTTACCTTCTTGTTCCTTAGCAGCATGTCACTACCTGCTAGGTAGAGAGAGCCAGAATTGATGGAGTATCACCTGCTAACCCATCTCTAGCCCCCTCATGGACTCAGGACATTGTGTCCCAGTAGCTGCTTATATCCCTTTTTACCCATCCAAAATTCTAGTCAAAATACTCACTTAGGGAGATTGTAAAGTTACCTTTGATGTATGAAGTAGCAATATTTTTTCCAGCTCTTCCATAAACTTTAGACCTTCTCCATATCTTCTACCAAAACAAACAAACAAAAACCAAAAAAAGGAAAAAGAAACAAAACCCCAAGAGTTCTAGTCCTTTTTAATCTGTTTCCAGAGCTATTTGGATACCACATTTTGTCTCTTGAGTTTTCCCAGTCTAGTGGTGGGCTCTTTTCCACTTCCCACTAAGCCTTGCAATCTCACCTGGTGGCCTTATTAGATATGGCTTGGTAGTGCAAAGGGGAAGAGCCCAGGATCTGACTGGCTGACTCCTCCCCTCCCTGCTCCATCCTTCAGTCTAATCATCAGGTCAGGCAGGAAATCTTGTTCCATCAGGTTAATGGAGGGATTCTTTGTGTTGTACAAGAGTTGTCTGACCAAAGCATACATATTCCTTTTGGTCAGCTTTCCGCTTCTGCCTCTCCCTCTTCATTCTCCTGTCCACGTTAATGCCTCTCTCTTCCACGGCTGGTTCAGATGCAGCCCAGGGAGGCTGTCCCTCACTTTCCCCCTTCTCAGCCTCACACATCTGTCTTCTTTTCTGAGCTAGGGTCTTGTGTTCACAAGTGTCCCACGCCCTCTGGATCTACCTTCTTTCTCTTTCAGCTCGTAGCCTGGCCACTAGGTCTCTCTTCAGCTCTTTTCTGCTTTTTGCCCCCTGGATGCAGTGCTTCTCCATAGGCCAACCCCCGGACGCAGGCATCATCGCCAGGGTCCTGAGAGGGCTTCTGAGTACGAGGTTGGATGGGGAGGTTGGGGGGCGGGCGCAGGTGCAGTACTGATCTCAGCAGAAGAACCCGGCTTGTTGAAAGGTCCTGCCTGCCTGGGAAATCGGTGACTATTGCTCTCAGCCATTCTCACTTTGAAAAGTTGGGTTACAGAGGAAGAAATTCATCCCTCTGGTCTCTCTTTCTTCCCCATGAAGACTTCTCATCTTCCTTTGGCTCTGAACTATGCAATTTCTACCAGGGCCATAGGAAGCAATCCAAAGCCAGGGGCCTGTGGATAGGTATGTCAGCTTTAGTAGCTCTTCAGTATGAAACCCTTCCAGTTGTCCCAGAGCCACCTTCTGCCATCTGCCAAAGCCAAGAATGTCCTTTTCTCCATCTCTCTACCTCCATCTTAAACACACATACAGATAACTCCCAACTTCCTTTGTTATTTTGTCTTCCAAAATTGACTGGCATAGGGGAACGAGGAAATGTTCTAAGCTACAAGATTGCCATCTCCTCAGTGATAAACTGGTCAGCCAGTCAGGTGACATGTTCTACTGCATTGTTTTTAATTTCCCCTTTCAGAGCCGGTGCTGAACAAGCCACACCTGGTGAAGAGAAAGGAGAGAAACGTGGTTTTCTCATCCTCTACCACCCGGGACCCAGCAGGAACAGCCCCTGAGGTGACTCAGATTAGCAAATGGCATGGCAGATGGTCAGGATGCAGGTTTCCGCCTCCGGGGACTCCACTCGCCTGTAAAATTCACAGCCATAACTCGTGCTCAGGGCTCTCAGACGCTGCTCCCCGACTCTTCTGCTTTAGTTTGTTTCAGTTTTTTATTCTATTGATTTCCCACCAGCAGCCTTGCCCTTAAGCTTGACTGAGTTTATGGCTCCTAAGGAGCCTTCGTAAGACCTTTCACTATTTTCTTCCCCCTTCAGTCAAGTGTGTTTCAAGTGAAGAATCTCACACAGGCCCTGCCTCGCTGCTGGGCACTGGAGGAGGCTGTCCTGCCATCTGCCCCTGAGTAGGATGGCTCATTTACATAGAGGGTCTCAGCTCGTTCCTTAACCCCATGTCTAATCTCATTTTCATCAGTGGGAAGTTAGCACTGGGGACCTATATGAGGGGCATTGACAGACCCTCAGTAGAAAAGCAGCAGTGACTTGAGGAAGGGGCAGGACAAGCCTCCAGCCAGCTCTTCAGTTGGTCCTCGGTCTCACCAAGAAGACAGAGCAATTGCTTACCGTGAAGCCTCTCTTATATCAAAGGGAATGTCATCGACCTTGTCCTTGCTGCCAGCCATGTGGCCGCTCTTCCCTGCTCTTTGCCTTCCAGACTCATCTGGACCAGAACCAAACATCATGGAGGGTGTTATTTAGCCCTTTTTAGGTTGCCTAGGGAGCTAAGGGAAGACATTTCTGAAAGGAGCTGGGGTGTGGACCCTAGGACTCTTCCAAGTGAACACAGGACTAGGCCTCTCACTTCACTCCAAAGACATAGCTGCTAGACATGCAAGGCCAGAAAGCAGGGGTGGGGAACGTCCAGCATGCAGGCCATTTAAGACCCATGAAATCATTTGGTCTGGACTTGGCAAGGCATTAGGGGTGAGTTAATTAAATTTTTAACCAAATATAGATGGCTAATTTTTTTAAGTTAATAATTTTTATCCCCCTTGAATGATGTTATACATATCCAAATGGCCCTTGGTAGGAAAAAGGTTCCCCACCCCTGGAAATGAATGGATGGGTGAATTTCAGGTAATATTCTGAGCAATATACTTAAATCCAGTTTTACAAAAGCACCAATATCCAGACTGACCGTTCCTTCTTGGAGTTTTCCTACAAGTTGTGAGGTGGACGGGACAGAGTTCCTCCCCATTGTATAGACAGGAAAACTGAGGCTCCTGAAGAGGATGAGCTCTGTGGAGCCCAGTTCTTTGGCGTGTGGTCTGGGGTCTTTCTGTGCTTTCTGTGTCTCCTGAAGGCTGTGACACCAGTGTGTGGCCTAATGAGCGTGTGCTTGGCTTTCCCTGGACAGCAACATGGAAGTATATACTGGAAAGCTGGGGCCAGTTTTAAGTTAATAATTTTTATCACCCTTGAATGATGTTATACATATCCAAATGGCCCTTGGTAGGAAAAAGGTTCCCCACCCCTGGCCTAGAGAAAGGGGCCAGAACCGGGTGTGGTGTGCAGGCTTCTGCCCATTTCCTTGAAAGCATGCTTAGAGCTGGAAAGCCTGAGAAGCCTCCCCACAGCTGGGAGAGACAGAAAGGGCAGGCACTTCTTTACTGACTCTTCCCCTGTTGGTTGTATAACCCAGATCTGGCTTCCTTCAGCTTCTACTCCTCTTCTTGGCCCTAAGACTAGACCATCTACTCTCAGTGGTGGTAAAAGAGGTGACCTAACTGAACCTCACCTTGTTGCCTTCCTATGCCTGTTGTGCTGTTCTTGGCTCCTTTCCTGATTCCCTGCCCTCCAGCACCACTCCTGGACGGGGTGCTTCGTCATAACCAGGCCTGTTTACAGCCTGCCCACCAAGCAGACACAAGGTATTCTCCTCCGGCTTCTGAGGCCCTTGTCCCACACTGAGAGGCTCCATTAAAGGTGCTACCCTGAGACAGCTCTCCCCCCAAAAGTTCTCCCTTTCTTTCAGAACTTCCTTTCCGTCCCCACGTCATTATTTCCCATTAGTATTGTACATTGTATACACAGGAAGGAAAAGTATTGTTTTTTATTTCATAACCAGTCTGTTTAGAATCCAGTCCTTCTAGCTATATCACATATGCCTTTGTTGATGTGCTCTTTATGCTTTCTTTAGACTTTTGTTTGACAGGGGCGGAGGGAGGAATAAGATAAGTGAGGATCCTCAACCTCCCACACCTTAATCTCCCCTCAGAGTACAGAACTGATTCTCTGTTTCTGTTTACAACACACACGTGCACACAGACACAAATCCCCCTCCCAGGTGCTGATCCAGCTGGAATGAGCATAGGTGGCTGCTGGCCACCATTCCCACACTTTGTACCACTTCATCTCTTTTTGGGAAAAGAATGAGAAAAGGCTGGGAGAGTAGGGAAGGTTAAGGCAGCTTATGTCCTTTGTAGAGGCAGGTTTGTATTGTAGCTGGTAGGGTTGGTTTTTAATGGGGGCTGGTAGCACAGAGATATCTTACCGGCATCAGCTGCTACTGGTGAGTGAGGCTGTAGCTGTAAGAAATGGCTATGAGCACTAGTTTCATTGACTTTCCCTTCGGGCAATGGTTCTCAGAACATGGTCCAGGACAAGCAGCACCAGCGTCTGGGAACTTGTGAGAAATGCACATTTGGGCCCCACCCCTGACCTGTTGAATCAGAAACCCTGGGGATGGGCTCTAACAAGCACTCCGAGTGGTTCTTATCACACTGAAGTCTGAGAACCACCGCCCTCAGAGCAAGCTCGGAAGTTCTTGTAGGAGGTCGAGACTATGAGTACCATCCTCTGCCTTAGCACTAACATATGTATTTTCCCATTTCCTCCAGTCCTTCTCTTCACCCCCATTAAAACAACAACCACATCATTCATCTTGAAATCTAGGTTTGTCTTCATCCTACTTATCCCTAAACCCTGTCCTGCATCGGTCTGGGCAGGTGTTGTCCCATATTCCCTTGCAGACTGGTCACTCCACACTCTGTTACAGGAAGGACCAGCTGGAGTTTAGCTGTTCAGTTCTCACACACACATACCCCTTCAGGCAGGGAGACGAGCCTCCAGCCCCAGCAGCAGATGCTGCAGCCTCCTGATATAGTATCTGTTGAAAAGAAAGCAGTGTGTATCTATGGTTATATCTCTGCTCATCTGTATATCTTTGACATGTAGCAAAACCTCTCCATCTCATCAAGGAACTCCACTGGGGGGTCTGAGTCTCCCCGGTGGTGGTCTTTGACAGGTGGGAGCATGCAGTGCTACAGGCTATTTTGTTACAAAACCATGGTCTCCCTTTCCCCTCCACCCCATTCAGCATGACCCCTGTGAGCAGGCTCACAATCCCCCGGGACGGGCTGGGGCAGAGGCTTCGCTCCGTCCTCCCTCCCCGTCCCTCTTCCCTTCCCCTCCCACTCCGCAGCTACCCCAGCCAGGCCTCCCCCTCTCCCTTGCCCTGACATATATTGTGCCTTATTTATGCTGCAAATATAACATTAAATTCTCGAGAGAACCACTGTTATGTCTGATGTTTCGATCCTCTGATCTACAAGTCCCACTGTCACTTCCTGGGGACTCATTGGGCTTTCACGTCTGATCTTCCTCACTTTCCCATTTCTTAAAACAGAAGGAGCTGGGATTCTTACCCTTCCTTTTTATGCAGTGAAAACACAGTCTAGAGAAGGTGGTGGCTTATATAAATACATAACACAACCGAAGGCAGGGCTCGGATCTGTGCACTGCCCTGGGGGCAAGGGCCCAGAGCATCATGGGAGCACTCACTAGAGGAGGTGGATGGGGGATGAGATGGTGTTTGAAAAGCAAGTGTCCTCTCACCATTCAGTGTTTTGTACCCCCCCCCCCAACAATTTTTTTAAAACAACAAAAATAAGCCCTATCTTCAAGACGTTTCCAACATGACGGGGGAATGCACAGAGACCAAAAGAGAACCTTTCTGTGATTGTATAAATTCTATGGGCATTGGGGGGGGCTGGTGTTGGTTAGAGAGCAGGTAAGAGAGTTTTCAAGAAAAACAGGTAGCACTGGCCAGTGTGGCTCAGTTGGTTGAGTATCGTCTCATGCACCAAGAGGTCGCCGGTGCGATTCCTGGTCAGGGCACATGCCCGGGGTGCAGGTATGGGCTCGATCCCCAGTGAGGGGGGTGCAGGAGGCAGCCGATCAACGTTTTCTCTCTCTCTGTTTCTCTCCTCTCTCTCTCTCTAAAATCAGTAAAAACATATTAAGAAAAAGAAAAGAAAGAACAAGAGGTAATGCCTAGGAACCATATGGAGTATGGAGGTGTAGGGCAGTCACTACTTATTGGATCGGTGTATTCCTTCACTATCACAAGCGCAGAGAGTGAGCCAGGCTGAAGAACTTGACCAGGTGTCTCTGGGTTTCCCAATAGGAGAGAAATTATCTAAGAAACTGGCCGATGTCAGGATTAATTGACACAAATAGGGAGACTGAGTCTCCTAACTTAGAAGTAGGAAAGGCAGTCGTGGTCTTCATTGTGTTGTGGTCAGGAACACAGGGAGGGCCAGAGAAGGGTCAGAAAGGAAGTTGCCGAAAGCCAGATCCTGAAGCCAAGATGAAGAGGTTTGGGAGGGCTGGGATGAGACTCTGAAGGCAGGGCAGTTTCCCATGAGAGCAGAATCAACCCATTCCAACTACTAACCACCGACCAGTCAGCTCCATCCTGACATAGGAAGCCAGCTAGATCAGCTCATTTCTCCTTGTAGCCTCAGCTCAGATAGTGGTGTGCTTGATCAGAGAAATAGAGGGGAAGCAGCAGGGTGGTAAACATTGAGTGCCTACTCTGTGCTAAATGGAGAGCTAGATGCTTTGCATCACTTACTGTTCACAGCAATCTCTTGATAATAGGAGTAGTTGCCTCATTTTATTGATGATGAAGTGAGGTTAAGGTTAAGACACTTCCCCAAGGCACACAGTGAAGTGCCAAGAGCTGGGATTAAAATTGAATTCTGTCGGACCCCAGAGCTGCTCTTTGCAGTGCTCCCCCCACTCTGCTCCTCTGGACTTCTGTGGGGCCAGATCCATTTCCCACAGAAGAACCATCTACCTATGGTCTTAATTCTCCCCTTTAAGAAGTGGTGAAACTGCAAGATGCAGTGGCGAATGCCAGGTTCTGTGCTTGGGACCAGCGTGAGACAAGCTCACAGAAAGGCTCTGCTAGCTTAGTCTGCTTTCATAGAAATGTAGTATCTAGAGCATCCAGATCAAAGCCTGATCTAATCTACCTGCCCAAAGTACATGTTGGTTTACAAATGCCTTACTTTAAAGAGAGATGCCTCCCCTTGAACAAAAAAAGACTATAGAGTAGAAGAATGAAATGTCTTCAAACCTGTGAAAGGCTTGCATACATGAAAGAATGGAGAGATGATCTGTGAGACTTAAGAGGCAAAACTAAGACCCTCTGGTGGAGGCCACAAGGAGACGGAAACCAGCTCAGTGCAAGGATAAATCTGCGAAGACTCAGGTGATGGTAAGTTCCCGGGACTCGGGGGTGTCAGCTCCTCACAGCTAACGTTCTGAGGTCGCTTGCTCTGTCAGATCCTCTACTGAATGGATGACCAAAAGTGGCTCAAATAATGCTCGTCCTAGGAAGCAGTTTTTCATGTCGCCATGTTCTGGGTGAAGAAACGGCAGGTTAGAGGTAGACAGCTTGCCAGGCCGGGCACAGGCTCTTTACATCATGGCACCTCTCCAGGCTGGTACAGAACTATTGGAGGGTGTGGAGGGAGGGATCCTAGGATCGGAAAGGAAAGGGCACCAGGTGACTTGAAGGACCCCTTCCTGAGAAGCAGGTATTTCCCAAGGCTGGATTCTAGTCTAGCACCCCAGTAGGTCAGTGCCAGGCGGAGGCGGGGTGACTAGAGTGAAGTGGACAAAATCATAGTCCAGCCCCTGGATTCTGTCCCTGCCTGTCTGGAACTCCGTAGAATCAGGGCCCTAGGCACCTCCATCCACCTGGTCCTTCAAAGAGCTCTAGTCCAGAGAAGGAAATGGCTGGGCCTGACAATGTGGAGCTGTGGCCACAGGGTGGCAGCAGTGCCTCAGCTGCGGGGATGGCTCCCGAGCTCCAGGTGAGGCAGGTCCTAAGCAAGCAGTTGCCCTCTAGTGAGGAGGGGGTCCGTCTACAAAGATTTGAAGCACTCCCCACTCTGTGAGCTCCCCACTTTCGTTTTGTTCCCTTCTGCATCTCATTTTCCTATCCACAGGCAAATCTCAGAGTAGTGGCTCTGAGAGGCACATATGCAGGGGTGTGGATGGGCTGGGTGACCCTGGCTGCAGCCATTAGGGGAGGGACCCTGGCTGGGTCATCCCGGCCAACTCTGACCCTAACTCTTCTCCCCACTCCCTCTGTTCCAGGACACAATGCCTAGCCCTTCCTGACAGGGCTTTCTTTATGCTTTTATTCTACAAGTTAGAAAAGAGAGGAGGTGGTGATCAATTGGAGCTCTCCAACCTGTTGAGGGATTGGGGGTTCTTAAAGGCCCCCCAGGGCCTGGCGCTGACAAAGCATCTGCAATTAATGATGCTTCTCAAGCTCTGGAGACAGGATTTATGCATCTAATAAAGTCTGTAATTCCAGGCTTAGGGGCTAGGGCCGGAGGCTGAGAGCAGGAAGTCCCGGAGGGGCCATGGGAGGGGATCTCAGGGGCTCTTAATGGAGCCGTGCATTTCCATTGCCTGCTCTAGATTCCCCCTCCAGCTGCGGTGGGGGTGGCGGGCAGGGGGACAGCAGGTATAAGAGGCAGATGTGGCCGGAGGAAGGCAGATGACAGCATGGATTCCAGGCAGGCAGCAGTGCTACTGCTGGTGCTGCTTTTCATAACAGACTGGGGCCACGCTGAAGGACCAGGGGGCCAGGGTGGAGATCACATCTTCCTGGTAAGTTAGCACCCCTCCCCACATCACTCTCTCTACCTCAGCATGGGACTTGTGCTCTAGGTTCAAACACTTGTGGCCAGGGTCTTCATTGGAAGAAATGGCTACTCAGCCTCCTACAACTTGTCACTGGAAGCCACATCCTTCCCCTACTGACCTGAATGTCCAAAGTCTTTGCCCATATTCCCTGCTGGATGTCCCTGTACCACAGGAGGAAGACACCGGACCCCGCACGCCACAGGATGCCGAGGCCCCTGCGTCACTCTTACTCTCCCTGCTCCAGGCCATGCAGAGACCCGGCCGGAGCCCAGCCTTCCCGTTTCAGCCCCAAAGGTGAGTCTGAGAGGGACACAGGCAAGGCAGGGGCCAGGGGAGGGTCGAGGGAGGGGGCTAGAGAAGGGACTGGAAGGACCTACAGCTGAAGATGGATCTCTCCTAAGGTTTGGCAGAAATACCCAGGGCTCCGGGAGCAATGACCGGCTGAGTACCCGAGCTGGGGAGGGGCTGAGCGCCCCGTTCTGGAGTCTGGCTGCCCCTCAGCGCTTTGGGAAGAAGTGACATGTCATCTCTTGATCCATCTGCATGCAAGGCCCACACCCAAAGTGCCATGTATCTCCCCCCCCCCCCCCC